CGCAATTTCAAGAGCAACGAAGCAATAACGAAGACGAAGAATTCGAAGATTACAAGCATAGTTTATCTTTTCATGAATTATTATTTTGTTTTAACTTTAATCACGAGTAGCTAATTTATTTATTTTTAGGATTTTATTTTGAACCATATGTGGGAATTATGAACCCAATTCTATGATTTTATGCAAGTTTTAATTCCGGATTATTTATTCTACTTGTTTTATTAAGTGCATGAACTTGATTACTTTATGTGCTTTTATGTAATTGGTAATCGCATGGATCGGAAGATCGGGTTAATAAGTAGAACTGTGGTAGAAGAACATTTGTGGTATTAACATAGGAATATAGTTAATCACTTAGGTAGCCATTATTGAGATTTATGCTTAGTGTTGTGTTCTGGAAATAATTGCGTAGGAATACAGTAATTGAATCTAGAGTATTAGAATCGTAATACACGCGGAAGCGGGTTATGATTAATTTATCATCTCAGGTTAATAATTCGAGTTAATAACTTGCATAATTGAAGGAATTGGGGGAGTAATAATCACATATGGGGGACAACCTATCGTTTACAAACACGTTTTTGGTCTTCAGCAAACGAGGGTTTCTATTTTAAATCGAGATAACTTCAGTCTTCTTCCCCTACCGTTGCGCCGCTGATTTCGTTCACCCTTTTCATAATTCATCCCGTTCACCGACGCAATGGCGACGGTGGATCATACGAGAGAAGCTTTCTCTGCCGCAATAACGTTCTTCTTCTTGGAACTCGCAATCTACACGTCGTTCTTCGGTCCACTGGCGACGGCATGCGCTTCCACGAGTATTCCGGTTACTCTCTGATCAATCTCTTACGCAATTTCAAGAGCAACGAAGCAATAACGAAGACGAAGAATTCGAAGATTACAAGCATAGTTTATCTTTTCATGAATTATTATTTTGTTTTAACTTTAATCACGAGTAGCTAATTTATTTATTTAGGATTTTATTTTGAACCATATGTGGGAATTATGAACCCAATTCTATGCAAGTTTTGATTCTGGATTATTTATTCTACTTGTTTTATTAAGTGCACGAATTTGATTACTTTATGTGCTTTTATGTAATTGGTAATCGCATGGATCGGAAGATCGGGTTAATAAGTAGAACTGTGGTAGAAGAACATTTTGTGGTAGTAACATAGGAATATAGTTAATCACTTAGGTAGCCATTATTGAGATTTATGCTTAATGTTGTGTTCTAGAATTAATTGCGTAGGAATACTGTAATTGAATCTAGAGTATTAGAATCGTAATACACGCGGAAGCGGGTTATGATTAATTTATCATCTCAGGTTAATAATCCGAGTTAATAACCTGCATAATTGAAGGAATTAGGGTAGTAATAATCACATAGGGGAGACAATAAAATCCTAGGCTTGCTTTCTTTGTTTAAATCTTCGATTTTACTTGGCTTTCTTGCTTTTGACTTTTTAATTTGCTTAATTTAGTTTAGTTAATTTAGTTTATTATTCATCTTTCGACTGTGTAGGGTGGGCTTGATAATAATTGCTAGGATTTAGCGTCTAGGATTAAATAATTAAATATTCTCTGTGGGATCGATATTCAGACTTAATTGTCCATTATATTACTTGTACGATACGTGCACTTGCTTGTAGGTATTACCACCAACACTATGGTATCGGTTCTACCCATTCGGCTACAGTGACTTGTGCATTTCTTTGAATTTCTTCTTTTTCCTCGACCTTTATATCAATAGCTTGGCAAGTCTCAAACTTCTGCTTTTGAGGGTCTTCCATATTCCATGGAAATGCTCCGGCCGGACGGCTCTCTTGATTCGATTCTAGTTGTTACTATTGAGTTTCGAAATTTCGTATTGACGCTTGATTGGAGGTCAAAACTTGGGCCAACACCTCATTAGTGTGTGAATTTTGGGCCGTGGATTGTTGCCTTGATAGCTTTGTTGAGGAGGGGCTATATTTTGAAATTGACCTTGAGGTCTTTGGTACCATTGGCCTTGTTGATTTCCTCTGTATGGCCCTTGTGATCTCCACCCTTGATTTTGGAATTGACGAGGCGCATTTTTGACGTAGTTGAGTGATTCCACATCTTGTTGGCATTGGAGCGTGTAGTGATTTCCACTGCAAATTTCACAGCATGGAGAATCCATGGCTTGGACTTGATGTGGTTTGTTTGCCTTGATGTGCTGTAAAAGGAGCTGATTATGTTGAGCAATTTGTTTCATTTGAGCTTGAACAGCCGTAATTGCATCTAATTCCAAAACTCCGGGAGCCTTCTTGGCTCCACTAATCGTCCTTTCGCTGGATTTGGCAAACCTGTTCTGCGCAATTTGATCCAACATAATGAATGCATCAGGTATAGATTGACTCAAAAAATTACCTCCGGTTGATGCATCTAAAACGGGTCTCGCATTCTCGTTAATTCCTTGGTAGAAGATGTGGATTTGTCGCCATTGCTCCACTCCGTGAGTTGGACACTGCCTTAAGAGAGTTTTGAATCTTTCCCATGCCCTGAATAATGCTTCCCCTTGATCTTGGACGAAATTGTGAATTTCCCGTCGTATTCGTTCGTCCTTCTCCGGCGAGCTGTAAACTTTCATGAAAAGTTTTAGGAGTTCAGGCCACGACGAGATTGAGTAAATAACCATCTGCGTCTATGCGTTCGTCGTCCTCCATTATATTATTTTCGCGTTAAAGTCTCCTAACTGCTCGAAAAGTACGTTCGATTTCAGGATCAAATGGCTCTTTGTCGAGATTGAGTCTCATGCGCATAAAACGGTACCTAAAATAAAAATAAAAAGAAAATTAAAATTAAAATTGGGTGAATCGTGAAAGGGAATTGTTTTTTAACATGAAATTGGTTCCGTAATCGACCTACCCAATGCATATTACACATAAAAATTGCTTTTTGCGGTTTATAATAAAACCCCCCAAAAAAACACTTTATTTCACTAAAATCCCAAAACTTCCCAAAAAAGTCCAAAAACCACCCCAAAACGCGTAAAAGCCCAACTTGGACATCCATTCATGCAGTGCACGCCCAAGTTGGGCGTGCAAACTGCATTTGGGCGCCCGAGTTGGGTGTCGAGTGCAATTTTTTTTTTGTTTTTTTTTTTAAATGTTCGAATGCCCAAAATGGGCGGCGTCCAAGGCGTGTACGAACGCCCGGAACGGGCGTTCGTACACGCTTTGGGCGCCCATCTTGGGCGTTCGAACATTTTTTTGCGAAAAAAAAAACCTTCAAATGGATTTGTAGGGCTTTTTAACATGAAATTGGTTCCGTAATCGACCTACCCAATGCATATTACACATAAAAAAGTCGAAATTACATCAAAAAAATCGAAGCGCAACCCTTCTTCAAGCTTGATTTCGAATTTTCAATTTCTTTTTTTTTTTTTCTGCTATTTGCAGTTTTGGGGGGTTTTTAGATATTTTTAAAAGTTTTTGGGGGTTTTGTTAGAAACCGCGAATAGCAATTTTGTGACCGCAAATAGCATTTCATATCGTGAAAATAGTTCAAATTTAGAGCTAGAATGAAATAAATAATTAAAATATTCCCCGGCAACAACTTAAAAAACTTGTTGGTTGGAATACCTACACGCAAGTGCACGTATCGTACAAGTAATATAATGGACTAAAAGTCCGAGTATCGATCCCACATAGAATATTTAATTATTTAATTCTAGACGCTAAATTTTACTAATTATTATCAAGCACACCCTACACAGTCGAAAGATAATTACTAATTTAAAATTAAATTAAAACAAATTAAACAATAAAATGTACGAAAGCAATTAAACACGAAGATTAATCCGAGAAAGTAAGCCTAGGATTTTATTCTTCCCCCTATGTGATTATTAATTCCCCAATTCCTTCAATTATGCAAGATATTAAATCGGATTACTAACCTTAGATGCTAAATTAATCATAACCCGCTTCTGCGTGTATTACGATTCTAATGCTCTAGATTCAATTGTTGTATTCCTACGCAATTAATTCTAGAACACAGCATGAAGCACAAATCTCAATAATAGCTACCTAAGAGATTAACTATATTCATATGTTAATACCACAAAGACTCTCCTACCACAGTTCTAATTATTAACCTGATCTTTCGATTCATGCAATTAATTAACAATAACAAAAAAGCACATAAAGTCGTCAGTTTCATGCACTTAATAAAACAAGTAGAAGAAATACTTCGGAACTAAAACTTGCATAAAATCATGGAAAAGGGTTCATAAATCACATATAGGGTTCGAAATAAAATCCTAGAAATAAAAGAATTAGCTACTCATGATTATAATAAAAACGAAATTAAAATAAATCATAGATGATAAAACTATGATTGGAGTCTTCGAATTGTTCGTTATTGCTTCTCGTTCTTGAAATTGCGTAAAAAGATCACTTTCATTGTTGTGCTTGAATTGGTCTTTTATAGGGCGGGAAAGTTGGAGAAAGATGCAATTTCCTTGTGCAATTAGAATTCTCTTACTGCTCTACGCCTTCTCAGACAACCGTCTGAACTTTCAGTTCAAATTCCAGACAACCGTCTCAATTCCAGAGACGTTGTTCTTCCAAGGAACATATTCGGATAGCCGTCCGAAATCCAAGTGTATTTCTCTTACGGCCGTCTGGGCTCTTGTCCTTCAAACTTTTGAATTTTTCAGTTTTTCGCCCACATTTTTTCCTAAATTGCAGTTTTGACCCTATATTTATTCAATTCTTTAATTTGTGCCTAAAACACAATAGATCAATACTTTAAACACCCATTATCAATAAAATACACCAAAAGCTCCAATTAAAAAATATAATTAAGTGTAAAAATATACACTTAACAACACTTGAATATAAATTCATAACATCAATATGTGTAGAGCACGTCACAACAAAAAACAAGATTCATTACAATAGTTACCGAGGAACAAACATCTAATATCAAACAATTTTAGGTCAAACCTTATGTGATAACATAGTCCAACAAGATCAAAGGTCATTCTGCGAAGGAGGAAAAATGAAGAGCTTGAATTCCGTGAGGCCGTTCGTGGTTCGATTCTTACGAATTTTCTTTGCAGAGGCAGCTGCCTTTTCGGTTCGGAACAAGTCCAACTCTTGGAATGTAGGTATATCGGCCAACCCGATCGGAACTCCTTCTAGATTCTCACAGTTTCGCAACTTAAGACATCTAAGTCTCGGGAAATGATGTCCCAACGCTACCCAAACGGCTAAATTTGTGTGCCCAATGTGCAACACTTCAAGACGGCGAAACCCCGCATCGGCCGCCTCCCAGCTCCTCCCCATGAACGCTTTGTCTTTTAGTTTGAGCACTAGGAGGTTTTCGAGCGATCCTAGGATAGACATATCGGTCCAATCGAGCAGAGTACTCGACAATGTAAGACTCCTCAACTTCTTAGGAAACCTGTAAGATGGAGGGAGATCACCGAGTTTGCTTGGATGAGGAAACGCGTCGTTTATCAACTTCAGATTTTCAAGGCTTCCCAATTTCCTCAAACTATCGAACGATCCACTCTTGGGATCCATAAGCAACGCTAGATTCCCGCGAACGCCCAATTTCTTCAAATTGCGGGCCTTCACGATGAGCGCTTCCGTGCAACTTTCGGTAGAAATCGTACCGAGCGTCTGAAGCATGTCGCCTTCCTTACTAGCTTTACCGGGCTTGATCAAAGTGGCGGATGCGTTCGTCTTTAAATGCCGTAGCTGAATCATATTCAAGATATCCGCTCTTATATCAAGGGTGCGCGACGCAGTGTCGATTATAAGAGTTTGTATGTTCCAGAGTTTGGAGAAAGCTGCGGGAAGAACCGTCGGTTTGGTGTTGGACGCTGAATTTAAGGAAAGGGTGATGTACCTCAAATGAACCAAGTGGTATAGGTCACCGGGAATTTTCGGGAATCTGATGGGCTTGACTTCTAGAACTCGAAGCAGTTTGAAAGCAGCAGGAATTGCTGAAATGGTATCGTTCTGCAAATCGAATTCCTCCTTGGAGAAACAAACAAACGAACGGACAAGAGAACCTTTAGGTCGCTTAGAGAGGAAATTGACGACATTGGAATGAATGCAAAGACGACGATATTTGCTTATATCGGAAGCCAGAGGTTGAAAAACGCCACCGTAATTCTTGATTTCTTGGAGGAAATTCTCCCTTTCGTTTCCGGCTATGGTTTTGCAGAAATCGCGCAGCAAATCATGTATACGGCACGTTTTGACTTTACCGTTGGCCTTTCTCTTATCAATTCTAACCAAGTTCCTATTAATAAGTTCGTCCAAATAGTTCTCCGCGATTTCCTCGATGCTAATAACACCGTCCTTTGGTTGAATCAACCCCTCGGCAATCCACATGCGGGTCAAGTTCCACACCGGGATCTCAAAATCTTCAGGGAACATGCCCAAATAGAGAAAGCACTCTTTCAAGTGATAAGGCAATTTGTCGTAACTCAATGCTATGATAGCTTCCATGCGTTTCAACGGGTCTTCGTCTTTAAGGTAAACACTCACGCTTTGCGACACTTTCTCCCATGCATCTCTTCGTACACTCAAGTCATCCGATGCGGCAAACTTTGTGGCAAGAATACCTCCTATGACCACTATTGCAAGTGGCAGCCTGTGACAGCCCTCGACGATCAGTTTTCCGGAAACTTCCAACACAGAAGGGCACTCGGGTTTACCAAAAACCTCCCACTGGAAAAGCAACCAACTCTCCGCCTCGTCCAAGTGACGCATTTTGTGGGGAGGTCTTTTGCGGTTAGCGGCAAGAGCAACTTCTTGTTGACGGCTCGTGATCAGGACTTTACCCATCCTGGCGTTGCTCGGGAAGGCGATTTTGAGTTTGTCCCAATCTTGAGCGGTCCACACATCATCCATGACGATCAAGAACTTGCCTCCCTCGAGACGAGAAGCAACTTCTTGGGCCAACTCGACGTCGCTTTTGGCGTACATTTCGTCGCTGAGCTTCGTGATCATCTTTTTGAGGATGGCGAGAAAGACGTTCTTGCTTGTGAATTCTTGCGAAACGTAAACCCATATTCGGGTCGGGAATTCGAATTGCAATGCTGGATCGTCGAAGATCTTTGCGGCTAGTGTGGTCTTGCCTAGGCCGGGCATGCCAATGATTGAGATGACATCGAGCTGCTCGGTTTTGTCATTCAAATATCCTATCAATTTTTCGGCCTCGTCTTCGAGACCCACAATATTGTCTTTTCTTACAATAGGAACCTGTTTTTAGGGCAATAAAAAGTAGCATGAGGAATACTGGAGAGAATTGATAAAATTTATGAAGTATAAATGTAACAACATTTAGATGAGCCTATAGTTATAATTAACAATATGACATTATTCACATACAATAAACAATAGTTACAGATCAATTGTTGATTGGGGTTTATAGGGCAACAGTATAGGTTTTTCTATAACATGAATAAATCATATATTTATAGCATTTCAAAATGGATATATAAAAGTTTATATTACTGGAAAATTTTAAAGTATTTATTTTGCTACAACTATAGTGACTAGAGTAAAAAAAACACTAGAAAACAAGGTTGATATACAAAATTATTTATAGCTACATATAGATCATTATATTACTTAAACATAATATATATATATATATATATATATATATAAGATTATTAGTCTATAAAAGTTGTATCGTTTTCTGGAATATTTAATATAAAAATTAATAAATATTTACATTTTGAAACTTTAATTTTTAGAAATACAAATGATTTATCTATATTTATAAATGTATCATATATTTTTTTAATGAAGGAATACGCAGTTAACCATATAATGCATTAGGTAACTCTATACTCTTGCATAATAGTTTGCAAACGTGTGACAAACACGACCTAGCGACCGTTGTCAAAGAAATTTAACTCTGGATCAATTGACATAGGCTCACTTGCTCAAATCGTTAAGTTATCCCTTGCGGAACAATATATTATATCTTCTAATATAGTCTAATGGCCCGTGCATCGCTGGCACGGGGTAATTACTAGTTTTAATTAAAATATTAAAATCTTATAGGTTAAGTTCTTATTTCTCTTAAAAGAGTTAAAATAAGAACAAATTCAATATCAAACTTCTTAACCTCCGTTTACTCCCGAAATTTATAACCTATATCCTCAATGGAGTTATTAAAATAGGGTTTGTTTCGCTAATTATCCATCCGGAAGTGAAAATAGATCCTAGATAAATAACTATCAAATATTCCTTTAGGATAGGAGCATGTGGAAAAATAAAATATATATCCTCAACAATATTGTTTATTTAAATAAATTACAAAATAAATAATATGTAAATAAATGATAAATTTGTTTGATAATTATTATTTTGATATTTGTGGTTGAAATACACTAGTTTTGTAGAGATATCAAAATGCAATCCAGGGCATCAATTTAGAATTTGATAATAATGGGTCGGAGTTGCTTCAACTATATAAAAAGAAAATCAGAGAAAGAAACTGAATCAATTATGGGTCGGGTCGGTTGTAATTTAATGGATCCGAATTTTAGCTTGACCCAAGGGGAGGTCAACTCTCAAGTCGTCTTACCATTTACCAAAGATGAACGTTTATTATAATCATTCAATTTCCAAGATCCCAAATTTGGCAAAATAAATTCACATAAATCAAATTAAGTGGACAGTGGACACAGATTCATAATTTAAAAAAAAAAAAAAAAAAAAAAAACTGACCTCCAAAGCAGTTTCAGGCCCGTCGTCTCCGATGTCGAGGATGGCGAAGTCGAAGTTGTCCTTGCCGCCTTTGAAATCTCTGATCTTGCCGCATATGGATTCGACCTGTCCGGCGATGTCGAGGAGCTTCGCCGGAGAGGAAAAAGCTTTGCCGAAGTAAGATCTGGACTTGGCGACGGCGGCCTGAGTAACGAAGGCGTCGATGATGTCCTCAGCCTCGTAAACGACGTCGCGTATGGATCGGACGAGATCGCGAAGCCTGTCGTCCTTCTTCCTCTTCTTCGTTGAGTCTCTTAGAAATGCTTTGAAGAATCGGAGATCCGTCTCTAGCTTCTCGACCTTGTCCTTTGCGTCGATTATCAAATGCGCGTGGTGGAGTAGTAGCTGCGTCAGGTTTTCCAGCAGGAATTCTACTGCTGCGTCCGCCATTTTATTATTTCACACACCTCTCTCTCTAGATCTCCCTCTCTCTCTATTTGTGTACCGAAAATGGAAATCTAGTGATAAATCAAGGAATTACCACTTTATATATAAATATGCTTGATGCATCATAATATTAATATTGTAATGCAAAATGAAATTTAATTCCAACATGTACAGTCTAACGCGTTTCCTGACTATGTAGTTTGACTTTCAAAACCAATTTTCATAGAAATACCGTTTAAATTAGGGGGTAAATTACGGCCAACCGCTGGGTGGTTGTAATTGTCCAAATAAGAGGGGTTTTTTTTCGTAATTTAAGCATATCTTAGGGGTGGTCATAATTTGTCCTTTAAATTATTTTGAAAGTTTCATGAAAGTGTTGTAGAATGATTTATTTAATTTATTATTAAAATTAATATATGTGAGTAATGCACTTTGATATAAGTAATTAAATAATTATGTGATCTAAGTTCCATGAATTTCAAATCATGCATGTGAAGTGGATTGAGCTATGTGATTTATTTGAAATTAAGAATAATGTTTAATTTAATTTGTATAATGAATTAATGATGACATGCAATTGATCTCTAATGATTGTATACCGTGTGAAAGCAGTGTGTGTGAAATAGTGTAAGTTCTAACACAACATTCATGAGCTAATAGTATTGATTCCTGTGTTATTTCTAATTGGCGAAAACTCCTCTATGTTATAAATATTAGCACATAGTCCCCTGTATTGTGTTTGGCATAGCATACCACCACCTATTCATCATTTGGCTGTTGACTAAAGTAAAATAACTTTATTACCCCTAATATAAAAAAATAAAAAATACCCAGAACTTAAAACCCATGTTACATGTTCCCAAAACAAAAAAATATCTATATGCTCCTCTCCCAAATTCAATCCCAAATCGAAGAGAGTAAATAACCCTAAACTCCCAAACTCAATATCGATCGAAATAATCTCCCAAATGCCTTCTATTTAAAGATTCTCGAAGAAAGACGTGAAGACGGCTGTTAAAGTTCGATTAAAGAGGTAGAAAGTTTTTGGGGAGTTGTGGGTTGTAGTCCAGACATTTGTATTAAAATAGTAGGGTTTATGTTTATGAGGTTTTCGTTTTTTTGGGGGAGTTGTAGGTTGGAGTAACTTTATGTATTTTTTTTCGAGAATGTGGGTTGCTGTCCAGATATTGTCTGGATCGTTTGGGGATTGTGGATTAGTGGTCCATATTTTGATATTATTGTTTTATATAGGCTATATCTTGTTTATATCCCCAAGGAACATGTGGGGTCTTATTTTTTTGAGGTTTCAGTTTTTAAAATTTTTTATTAAGGTTTTTGTTTATGATTTTCGTCATTTAGGTTTTTTACTATTGGGATTTTTAGGGTTTTTTTTTTTCTTTTTTTTTTTACTATTGCAGAGTTTTAACTTAAAGCTTTATTATTTATGCAGATGAACCTGTTGTGTGAAGTATCTATATGGTTGGATGGGGTTTTCGTATATAATCCTGAACTGTGTTATGTCGGAGGGAGAAAGGTAGTGGCCGTAAAGATTTGCTTGGACTACTTGAACATGCAATTACTGTATGATGTGTACAAAGTATGTGGAGGTAAAAAAAGTGAATGTCAACTTCTACTTCTTGTACCCTGGGCAATCACTTGAACATGGGCTCAAGTACATTATAGATGATGTAAGTATGGCATGGTTGGTGAATGTTCATGATTAACTGGACCAGTTGACACTTTACACTGAAGATGTACACATAGAGCTAATCGTTGCAATTGATAAGGATGGGAATATAATTGAAAAGAAAGTAGAAATTCTTTATTTGCGGAATGTTGATGAAGATATAGTTGATGAAGACTCAATAACTGCACAACCTCAGCCCGAAGAACCAACAAATGAACAACCTTAGCTTGAAGAACCAACAAATGAAGAACCTCTGCATGAAGAACCAACAATTGAAGGACTACAACCTGAAGAACCAACAACTGAAGAAGTACAGCCTGAAGAACCAACAGCTGAAGAAGTACAGCCTCAAGAACCAACAAGTGAAGAACTACATCATGAAGAACCAACAGCTGAAGAAGTACAGCCTAAAGAACCAACAATTGAAGAGCTACAGCCTAAAGAACCAACACTTGAAAAGATTTTTGCTGAATTCCTAACCACTGAAGAACCAGCACCTGAAGATTTGTTTGCTGAAGTACCAAGAAATGAACAACAACCAACTGAAGAACCGGGAAATGAAGAGACCAGGAATGATGATGTGATGTTTTCTGAGGATGATGATTCAGATGATGGTGACTACATTGAGCCTGAAGATTGTCCAAATGATGTTGATGTACATTCTGATGATCCAAGTGAAGAGTTAGAAGACATTGAAGGGTCTTCAGATGATGACATTTTTTTGGATAGACAGTTCGGTAAGCAAGACTTGATCAAAAAGTTGAAAAGAATGGGCAAGAATCAAAAAGACCAGATAGAAGGTTGCAGAAATGTTCAGTGCAACCATCTACGACCCGATGGTACAGTGAGCCAGAAGATGATGATACTATTGATAATCTAGATGACTCAACTAAAACCAAATGCTCTATATTCAGTGAAGGACAGAGTATGAAGAATACAAATTTGGAAGAGTTAATGAAATTTTCAATGTTGATGCATTTAGAGAGGCTCTCACAGATTGGTTAGTGAGAAATGGGTATGAAATTGATTTTTTGAAAAATGAAAGGAAAAGGGTAACTGCAGAATGCAAAGAAAAAGGATGTAGTTGAAGAATCCATGCATCTGCTGTACAAGGTGGTCCAATATTTCAGGTATTTAAATATTATATTTTTTTGTGTACTATTCTATTTTATATTATGGTTTCTTGGTTTCTGCATTTTTTTGTCTTTGTAATATTTATGTACTTATCTATTATGTATTGTTTTTTAACTAAGTATTTTTTAATTTATTTATTGCAGATCAAAAAACTAACTGGAGAACACACTTGTTCAAGGAAAAGAATTAACAAGCATGCCAGTGCAAAATATATTGGAAGGTGAATGGGAGACTCCATTAAAGACTATCCATATGTTGAAATAAGCAAGCTTGGAAACTCGGTGATGAGAAAGGTAGGTGTAGAAGTTGGCTATTGGAAGACTTTGAGGGCGAAAAAAGATGCACTCAACAAAATAAGGGGACAGGATGCTCAAGAATACAGTCGCCTGTGGGACTACTGTGAAACTGTTAGAGCTAAAAATCCTGGTGCTAAGTTATTGCTGAGAAAGATTATTTATTCAGATCCTCCAACAGGATTTGAGATGATGTATTTTAGCCTTCCCCCAATGAGGTTGGAATTTCAAGCAGGATGCGGGCCACTAATTGGATTAGATGATTGTTTCTTGAAAACACCACGTGGAGGGCAGCTCATTTGTGCTGTTGGAAGGGATGGGAATGATAACCTTTTTCCAATTTCCCTAGTTGTGGTTCCAGTTGAGAACAGAGAATCTTGGACATGGTTTGTGGGTGAGTTGCTAGAAGAAATTGGAGGTGTTGAAGAAAACAAATGGACCTTCATTTCAGACAAGCAAAAAAGTCTTCTTGCAGCTATTAAAGATGTTGCCCCTGGTTGTGATCACAGGTTTTGTGTGAGGCACATCTACCAGAACTTCAAGAAAAAATGGCCAACTTTAGAGCTGAAAACAACGTTATGGAGAGCTGCTTCCACATGCAACAAGAATGAGTTTGAAGCAGTTATGGTGGAGATTGGTAGGTTTGATAAAGCTGCAGCAGAATATCTAAGAGAAATTCCTCCATGTCATTGGGCCAAAATCTTATTTCTCAAGAAGCTGCAAGACAGATGTGTTATTAAACAATCTTTGTGAATCCTTCAATAGCTACATCCTTAAGGCTAGAGATAAGCCTATTATTGGCATGTTTGAGTGGATAAGAAGTAAATTGACAAGCCAAATTCAAACAAAAAAGGCTAGAATGGAGAAGTATGAAGGGTCTATCCGTCCTAATATCTTGAAGAAGATCAACAAGTCTCAACAACTTGCAAAAAATTGTTTTCCAAGATGGCATGGACAAGAAGAATTTGAAGTGGATATTCATAATGACAGATATGTAGTGGACCTAGTTACCAGAACATGCACATGTGGATTGTTTCAATTAAATGGGTATCCCTGTCATCATGCATGTGCTTGCATTGCAGATATGAGGTATAGAGTTGAGGACTATGTGGACTCGTGGTATAAAAAAGATACATACTTGAAGGTTTATGCATATATGATACATGCAGTCCCTGGACCAAAAGACTACATCAAGACCTCTTTTGAGCCACTTGCAGCCCCAAAGTTCAACAAGAAAGCTGGGAGACCTACGAAAATGAGAAGAAGAGGTCCAGATGAACTTCACACCACTTCTTACAGAAAGGGTCTCACACATACTTGTAAGAACTGCCTACAACTAGGCCATAATAAAACATCGTGTAAAAATCCTACAAATCCAAGGTCTAAACTTTATAAGGTACTTGTACCTTTTATAAAAAAATTCCTTCTAATTACTTGATTTTTTTTAAAGTATTTCAAGAATTATTATAAGTTATTTGTTGGTTTATTTGTATGTGATAGGTAAACCTTGCAACTGAGGACGTTCAAAATTCTCAAGGACCATCATCCTCTGTTGCAGCAACATCTGTTCAAACAAGCTCTTCTACACCAAGGTCTGATGTTTCCAGCTCTGTTGCACCATCTTCTACTCAACCAAGCTATTTTGCACCTTCTTCCATTCAAAAACAATCTAGCTTTGTTGCACCTGCTGCTCCACCAGGAAGGGTTAGAAACAATCAAAATTGTTTTATTTTTCTTCTCTTTATGCCCCATTTATTTTTCTAACTCACAGGCTACACTTGTAGGTATATGTGGGAAGAAGAAATGAGGGTTTACTAGGAAGAAGTAAGAAAAAAAAAAAAAAACGCGGGCAACAAATCAAACACAAAAAGTGCTTGTTGTTGTACCAA